AATGATTTTATGCTACAATTTTGTTTTTTAAAAATTACTATAAGTTCATTTGTGGTCACTATAATGGTAAAAAAATTGAACGCTTACGCCCAGTACTCCCTTACTTTGCCAGGATAAATCGCAGTCAACTTTATCTTAGTCTAACTACATCTTCTTGCTACTTTTTTTTCCTTAAACCACCTCGACAAAAGTCCTTACCGGCCTTTATTTTCGCAACCTCTGATTGTAAACGTAGACTTCTAATTGTATGTTTTAAATAACGCAGTTATACTTATTTTGGCAATATCAAATTTTAAAGTATCACCTTTTGGGCAAATTACGAAATCTAACAATTTATGCTGTCCCCCAGTTCTTATACTTATATTTTGGGAAATTTTATACTCAAAATTCAAATGCAAAAAGGCTGACTTCTGTAAACGTTGACCGAAATATTTCATTTCAAAATTTGCGATTTTTGACCCGTTTTCTACTTGCCTTGAGAGGTCGGTTAATAAATAAACCGAAATAATTCGAAATCAGTTTTACCCTTTAAATTAATTTCGATTATGTTCTACTGAGATTTACTAGGGTGTAACATTCTTTAACTTATAATTTTTTTACAACTGGTATGCCAAAAGAAATTCAACGCAATTAATTTGCAAATTTTCAAACGCTAAATATGCATTGCTATTATTCTCACACACTTTTGTTACTTTAGAATTACTGTGTTATAAAACAAAAATTTCCTTAAATTAGAAATAATTATAATTTTATGCAAGTCAGGTTTTTCAGTTGGCTTTGTGCCAATACTAAAGCTCGTCAGTGTTCTCTAGAGCACGAATTTCAGAAGACTTTATGAACAAGATCGCCTTTTTCATAAAAATTATAATCAGATCATAAAATAATAAAGATAATCTTGTAAACACGTACTTAAATTAATCTATTAGCAAAAAAGAAACCATTTTATAATCTGATATTTTATTTTTTGTTAATCTATTAACAAAAAAGAAACCATTTTATAATATGATATTTTATTTTTAATTACGCACAAATGTAAATATTTCGCTCTTCAGTTTGTGTACCACCTCTTAATGTGATTTCCAACTTTAAAATAAAATACCATGTTGGTTTTTGTCATGTAAAAATAACACCTCTTTGTGTTTTATTTTTTATAATGAGTACAACTTTTTCCGAAATAAAAACCAGGAAATCGCATAAAAATTCGGATTTTTGTAATTTTTTTAAAAATTGATTTTTTTTAAATTTTAAGATGCCAGAATGAATAGTTGCACCAGGCTGAATGAAGACTTTTGGGGTCATATTGTACAGTTGCTGGGTTTGCTAAAAATTGCAGTTTATATGCACGTCTGAACCACTGCTGAGTTAAAATACTTGACATATTCTCATCAACCCATTTCCCTTCCCTCCCCCCCAAAAAAGTTCTGAAATCTCTTTTCTTGAAGTTGATGCTTTTTACATTGCCCGAGTTTCTCGCGCTCTAAAATACGACATAATTTCATAAATTAGCATTACACATCTTTAAACAGTCGTAAAGTCCGTCACTAAGTTTTGTTGAAACTTTTGAATGCGGTACTTTTGACTGACGAACGTTGTATTTTCTGGGTATTAGGTGTTTCCCTTTGTTTTTATGTTCTAATTTTACAATTTATTTCATTTCTGAAATTCCTTGCATACTTCTTTCAATAACTTTCCTTCCTTTTCCTTCTTTGTTCGAAAAGACATGTGTCAATATAAAAATAACTATTTTTATTATTAAATATTTAAATAAACTTAATTATTTTTAACGCTTTAGCCATAAGAGCATTTTAAATACTATTTGAGTTGAAGGAAATTAAGATATTATAATTATAAATTTATAACATTTGATTACCATAATGTCACACTTTTGGGTTATTTTCCTAAATTCAATAAGGTTTGTTTCAGTTTGCTTCTATGTATCAGTATGAGAAAGGGTTTCATCACCCAATCATATTAAAACAAAGTGCCGAAACCGATTCGATGTATGTGCCGATCTCAGACTTCAGCATACCAGCATACATCCAAACGCAGAACAAACAGCTGTGCTAAAATCGTCAGCATCATCCTTCTTATTAAGTGTGAGTACCAACATTTATTTAAGTTTTGTTAATAAGTAAAACATTATCCAAAAACTAATAGCCTCGAATTATTAAAAACGAATACGAATTTTTCTCCTGCTAATCACTTAATATTGAAAAACAGTTAAAGGAATTTTAATTAATTGTATTTTTAAAATGTAAGTATATTAGTCATAACAAACGCGAAAAATGTTTGTCTCAAAGAGTTTAAGGATATAATGGCTCACCAAACACTTCTAAAAGTTGTCTCCTTTAGAAGAAAGTTTGAGAAACGCTGATTTAATCGATACTTCTTGTTAAATATCCGATCCTTTTTATCTTTTAAGTCGAGTTGCGCTTATAGGAAATTGGGGTGATAAGGTAAGTTCCTTGAGAGATTTCGAGCAAGCTCTTTTGAAAGAATATGTATACTTAACGAGAAAAAGGATCTGAAAGCATTTCGATCTTATGACCCGTGCTAAGCCAATTTACTCCGTCAGTCACCTCAAAAACATCTCGATCATTTTTAATTACATCTTGGATTACGTGATTAGAAAACTTTACGCCTACAGTCGCCCAAGTGACACATTTTAAGGATTACAAGGAAAATATGTCTACCAACTGCTTTTGCTACTTTGTAGGTTTACTGTGCATTTTTCTTCACGACACAGTTCATGGTATTTTGAAAGAAAAGAAACGAGAGTATTACCTAAAAACCAGAAGAAAAATTGAAGAGTATTTTTCAGTGTTCATCTAGTTGTGTACTAAGAGTTGCATGACATTTTAAGAATTACCTGCGGAGGTAGTTATGTAAGAAACGCACTAATACATTTATTTTAATATATCATTTGCTAACCACTAATATGTAATTTCTGCGATTAATAGAGACAGCTGGGTTAAAAAATGCTATGAATTTGCCAAATTGAGAATTTCTGGGCATGTATGGATTTCATATTTCTGAAATCAAGAGTTTGAATAATTACCCTCAATCATCTGATATTTTAAATAAAAGAAAAATGTATTACCTTCTAGAAAAACTGATCCATCTATGAGTTGTGTCTGAATGGGTGTAATTAAAATTCATGAATAAATCCACACTTTTTTAAAATCATAAGGACTTGAACGTAATTAAATAGATAAGCAACGGTATAATCATTGTGAGCAACAACAAATGAGGTAAGTCGGTAAAGAAGAAAATCGATTAAATGACGTTGTCAACTTGAGTGATATACAAACATTCTTTATTCGCCATCGTTATCAGTTCACCGGTTGTTACCGAGGGATTGAGAAAAGACGTCAGATATAGGGCAGAGACATCGCGTATAAGTTTGACAGGAAAAAAAGAAGAATTATGTGAAAGTTTCACGTCAACATCTGTGTCGATTCCCAGGGTGACTACATTTTAAGGTCTATTCCGAACCAATATATATTATTACGCAGTGCTTTTTCCTTACGCAGTACTTACTCATTACCGACGAGTGGGGGTTTCTTTTATGCTATCCTTCATACTCCGTTGTTCGACTATGTTTTTCAACCTTTTATGTTACATGAGAAGTTAAACATTTGAAAACATGCGAAGAATTTTTATTTTTAGATTTTGCCGCTTACGTTTTGGTCAAAATTCATTTAAAAAATGCTATCTTCATTTCGGATATGGAGTCATGGAGTATCAATATTATTGATGCAGCTCAAATTATTTAATCCATTTTAGATAATATTTCAGCCATGTACGTTAGCTATATCCTTAAGCAATATTTGCTGCAGATAGGATGTTCTTCGATTTTAAATTTTGAATGAAATTCGTGTTTCGATTTCCGCTACAGTCACTCGATTCTGAGATGCGAGAAGGTAATGTCTTTAGCAGCTACCAGTTAAATGAATTCAGTAATCTCTATGGTCGCACTCTACGTTTGTAATGATGTAAAGTATTTTACATTAATTGACTAATTATTATGCTACAAATCTTTACTGTAAGTTCTCCCTTCTATAGACCTCACCAGAATGCAAATTAGTTTATTGAATACTTAAGTTAAGGGTTTTGAGTGTTCTAAAGTAAGAGCTTTTGGCTGCCTCGCCTGCAGTTTACGTTCTATCGCTCAGATCTACCAGTGAATGTCCCGGCTTTAGCCATTTGACTAACTGACGCTTATTGAACCAGCTTAATTAGATCACCTTGTGTAGTCTCTGACTACGATAAATTTAACTTAATGTTATTTCAAATATCCAAAAATAGCGGCGTTTTGTTTGTAAGCACAAATGGTGTCTTCTGCTTAACTTAAAGAGTTCATGAAAAAGTTATTTTAAACTTGCGTAGGACTTTGTCTTAATATTTTTAAACGGACAGTCTAATCGGGTCAGAAGCTTGCTTTCTCAGTTTAATAATGTCAGAAGGACTTTATTTTCTACATACTGGTAACCTGTAATGATTCCGCATGGATATTTAAAGTTTTATTGATGACTTCATTAATTTTGTAACCAACTCTAGAAAGGTCATTTGTTAAAATTGTTTTATGCATGTAGTCATATCAGGTGCCCAATTCATCGGTACCGGCTTAAGATACTCGACAAAATTCGGTGTTTGATAAATGTTTCTTTCAAGGACGTCTATTACTGAGGTACTATCTGTTATTTTAAGACCTGTTAAAGATCTGTTATTTTAAGATCTGTTACCCTGAGACCGTCTGGTCATGCACCCAACGTCATTCTCATAAAATGTGAAATGGCATGACCTTATTAAAAGTAAATTCTGGTTTGAGTTTGCTCGATTTCAGACACTTACTTTAATTCAGTGACTGCTGAGACGTGAATATAAAAAGACAACTCGCTACAAGAAGTAATTAAGCGTTAGAAGAATGAATGCTGGATTTGACTTAACTCACAACAAGAAATAATTAAGTATTAGAGAAATACATGATGCGACGTTACCTGGTAAGTAAATTTGGCGTGGTGATCCAATTTCCTGTTATTCATCGTCTGGTGAAATGAATCCTTTAGGCCTTTTCTTCTGGCAAAATTTCTCCTACAAAAGTTTAATATAATTCAGTGATGTGTAAAGATGTGAACGAATTTAAAGTGTCATTTCTTCCATAAATCCAACCATGCAACTTGATGTAAAACTGAATATCTATTGGTTCCTCCCTGTACCACAAACGGATCACACATTAAAAAGTTATATTCCCCCCCCCTTGCGTGTGGAGTGAGTTATTATTGGAAGGTAATCTTTTTAATTTACTAGGAGTGTTTATTTTTATACAGTTATACATTAATATTGGACACTTTTGAATGGGACCCCTTTTATTGTCTTTCACTTGGGGTCACTCAAGTTTCATAAGAGGGTCGAAAACCTTTTCTCGACGTATGGTCTAAATCAAGGGTGTAGAAAGGTTTTATAGAAAGAAGCAGATTTTAAAACTTTTAGGCTCGGCGAACCAAGTAGTAAGCACGAATGAGTAATTAAAAAAAATAGTAAAAAAAAACTCATTTTTTATTATGAAGTGATATTTTTACTTAATATTTATACATATTTTATTCACAAAAAACGTATAAAAGATTTACATTTACATTTTAATAATATTATTACTAAATTGATTAAAATTTCTAATGCGAAGACCGTAATTGTTTTTTCTCAGGTAATATTTCATCATGCAGAAGTTCGAAATTAGTACATCCTACCATTAAAGTTGTTTGCAAACGGTCATCTGTTAATAATGATCTGAATTACGATTATATATATTTCATTTTCGATCGCGTTGGTAAGTACTTCCAAACATCTCCCCGTACTTATGATTTTAATTAAGCTTATTTCTTTTCCGAAAGATATTTATAAAATTGAATTAAATCCTTTTCTTTAAACATAATTTTTAACATATCATTTTGTAAATTAGTCACTCCAGTTGAAGATCTAAAGTAAGCTCCTCAATTATACAGTCAAATGGATTCTGAAACATGCAAATATCTTTCCTACTTGCATCAAAATCCACAAAACACTGTTGTAACTATAGTATAAGTTCACAAAATACATCCTGCTTGATTTTTTGAGGAATGGGGATTTCGTTAATTTTTGAAATATTTTACAGCATGGCGTAGTTTAGTTGATTATGGTAGAGCACACTAAGGCTAACTGCCTAAGAGAAGAGATGTCTTCGCCGAGGAGTTCCTAAAGGAAACGGCACGTTGCATATGAAGAAAACTCCCAAGCATCAACCCCTTGCACCTAGAATCGAACCTAGGTCGGAAATACCAGTGTTCAGCGATTTTACGCTCGGCCGCTGGTAGGCCTTTGCATCATGAAAAGTGGTCAAATTTATTTAAAATTATTTTCATTTAAAAAATGGAAATTTTTGGCTATATGCCTTTACGATAGAATACATTTCACATGGGAGTACGTTTTTCTTTCTGATTTTAAATTGAATTCTTGATATCCCAAGACGTCTGGGGCAAAGGCTAAATTTCATAGCCAATTCGGTGTCTGATAATAAAGGTTGTGGTAATTTGTTCTTATTAAAAATACCTATGACTTCTTTCAGTTCAAAGAATCTCAATAAATTTCCCACTGCTTAGCCATCGAACAGCTGTATGATAAAGCAAATTAGGATATTCAGCTTCGATCCCTAACAAAAATTCATGATACTGGCAATGGTTAAGTTTGCTACTGATACAACTGGTTCAATTTTTTATGACAGATTGAGGTGTTTTCCACAAACGCTTGTTGGCAAATAATGCAGGGAATTACCACAGGTTTTAAACATTTAGCATCTTCACAAAACTTAAAAGTTTATCCAATTAATCCTTTCCCCGTTTCACACATATTTTTTCCACCAGCAGTTGTCACACATTTTAACGGATTCCATTGCAAATTTTATTGTATTAGCGTTTTCTCGACTTTTTTCCACCTGTAGTTGTTTCACGCAGACTACTCATGGAAGCTAATTCTTCATTCATCTTAAATTCAGCATTGGTCTTCGAATAAACACCAGCAATTGTGCAGTATTTGTAATACACTGACTACCAATAAGTATTTGGACACCTATGCAAATGACGTTATCTGCGATCCCTAAGGTACGTCACGGACTCCGCCGGTATATATCGTGTAGGAAACAGCATCGGCTTTAGTCGCATGCAAGATGCCTCGCAATTCGGAGATCTCTGATTTCGAGAAAGGTATAATTATCGGGTATCACAAATGTGGCCAATCCTTAAGGGACATATCTAGCGATCTGAAGTACCCAAAATCGACAGTGGCCTATGTGATTAAGAAGTGGAAGGTGAGCGGTGATTGTCGGAATGTGCCCCGAGTCGGCAGACCAAAGAAACTGGGAGATAGGGACCGACGAGTGCTGTCCAGAGAAATTCGGAAGAACCGCACCCTACCGATGGCCCTCATCCGCGAGGAGTTTCAACAGGCATCCGAGAGTATTGTTTCAATGAATACCATCCGTAAGAGAGCACATCTGCTTGGTTTTCATGGTCGTGCTGCTGCCCATAAGCCTTTGATCACAAAGTCCACCGCGCTGCTCTGTTAATGTGGTACAAAGCACATCTAAATTGGACCGTAGATCAGTGGAAACGGGTTCTTTGGAGTGACGAATCAAGGTTCACCCTTTAACGTTCGGATGGCAGGGTCTGGGTCTGGGTCTGGCGTCTACCTGCAGAACGTCTCTTGCCAGAATGCATTGTGCCAACAGTCAAGTTCGGTGAAGGCGGAATTATGGTCTGGGGGTGTTTCTTCTGGTATGGGCTGGGACCATTGGTCCCCATTCATGGTAAACTCAACTCCGATGCCTACTGCACTATTTTGGATGACAATGTGCTTCCTACGTTGTGGCAGTTTTACGGGTTGGACCTCTGTTACTTTCAGGACGACAATGCCAGTTGCCATGTTTCGACGCTAACCAAGGCTTGGTATGGTGTCAATGGAGTTCATCGAATTGACTGGCCTGCCCAGAGTCCAGACCTGAACCCTATCGAGAACCTCTGGGACGAGTTGCATCGCCGAATTCAGGGGTGCACTACCCGTGCAAAAATCGGTGAAGGAACTCCTATGTCTTCTCCAAGCCCAGTGGGAGAAAATACCATTAGCTGTCATACAAAGACTTGTGGAAAGTATGCCCCGGAGGGTCCACGCTGTAATTACCTCTCGTGGAGGCTCTACCAACTATTGATTTTGAATAAAGTTAGTTTTTCTTTTCTATCACAGGTGTCCAAATACTTATTGGTAGTCAGTGTATCTGTCAACTCATCAAGAGCCATTGAAAACCATTTGAAATTTTTTGCTTTGTCTTTTAATTGACTCTTGATGTGACTTCCGATGTCTTCAAGTCTTCTAACAGTTGTTCTCGTCGGAAGATTGAAAGATCGAAACATATCTATTTTTCTGCGCACATTTCTTCTTTTGCTACAAGAAAACTTGATTTAATTGATTCCACCATCGGTAAATGGTTCTAATTTCTTGGCTAATTAATGAGCTATTCGTAAGGTGACTTTAGTTACCGTTTTATTATCATGATTTTTTTATTTTCACGAATAACTTGCGTTGTTATGACGCATTCTTTCCAATTTTAATGATCGTTCATTTTCTGTGAGAATTAAATACCATGTCGCGTGCTTAGTTTGGTAATGACGACGCATAGTGTACGTTATTATGTCGCTGCATATTAAACATAAAACTTTATCATTTAATTCCATGAAAAAAGAATTGGCCCTCCATTCTGCTTTAAAAGTATGACATTTTACTTCGTACTTGATTTTGAGAGTGACATTGTAACAGTAAGTAATGAATAAAATAAGACAAAAGGAACAAAATATCGCAGATAATTTTATAAGGTATTCTCCCACATTCTTGGCATGCCTTCGTGGTGTGGTGGTCTGCACGCTGGGCGCATATTCCAGAGGTCCGTGGTTTGTTTCCCGGTGAAGACAGTTGCTCAACTTTCATCTTTTCTGTTTCCCCCCTCCCCCAAAATAAATACTTAATGTCTCTACAAGTGGCGCCCGATCTAAAAGGGTGGTGGATGATGACTCTTCACACCCAGGATTTGGCGATAAGTTCCCTTAGAAACCCAGACGCCCTTTAAAGGGGGGAGTATGTAAGGTATTTCTCCCGCCTTCTTAGCGGGCCTTCGTGGTGTGGTGGTCTGCACACTGGGCCGGTATTCCAGAGGTCCGCGGTTCGATTCTCGGCGAAGGCTGTGCTAATTTTTCATCTCTCTTGCTTCCAAAAAATCCTAATATCTCTACAATACATCCGACTCAATAAATGAGCTGAGTAAATTTATATAAGCAAAAGTGTCCAAACTGCGAGAAAGGAATATAATTTAAAACCAAGGGAGACAAACTGTTTACTTTCATGTTTCTTAATGCAATATAATGGTCTAATCTGCTTGCTAAGTACATCTGAAGGAAAGTTAAGTTGAAGCTTGGCAACCATTTGAGGAACACAGGATTTTCCCTTTATGTAAAATTTTTACAGTATAAACTCTGCGAATAAATTTCCTACGTTCGCAATTGCATGCTTTCTAACTTTTATAAAAAGTAGAGGTGCTACTGTCCAAAAGTATCTTCTCTGCAATAAAAGTGCACTTTGCCTGATTAAAACTTTGGCAGTCAACGCGAAGACCATTCACGCCAATTACACTAACAACAAAGGAAAGACTCCATTAATAATTACTCCGGTGAGCTTCTTTGTGGAACAGACAGAAACACATTCACTTTAATAGTTCCAAGTAACACTCACTGTTTCAGAAAAACGCTATTTTCTGCATTTAATGCAATACATTCATCGGCTTTAATTGGACAAAAAGGTAATGCCAGGGACTACGACGATTCGGTTTGAAAGGACACCTGGTACATGTATTTGAAGTTAAAATTAAGAACATAGTACTAAAGCACATGTTTAGAAACTTAGAACGCTGGGATTTTTCCTAATGATTTTCTAAAAAGTAAACTGAAATAGACTAATATTTAGCAAATAGAACGATACACGTTCGGCTTTAATGCCATTCCATAAAATTATTCTAACGTGTTTAATTCATCTCAACTAGAGTGATTTCCAATTTCTTTTTTTCTATTATCATATAAAAATAACATGCATACAAATTATTTTACACAACACGCATGCATAGAAAAGACAGCCAGAGAGAATAAGCTAGGTCACAGGATTGAAAAATTGTAATATTAATTTAAATTTAATAAGTTTTCGAGCTAGACTCAGTTACGAGTAAAATGAAAGCTCTTCCATTTGCTGTCAATTTTAATTTAGGAGCTGCGGAAACGGACTGTGTACAGTCAATTATAATGTGCAAGTATCTGGCGCAAACAGATATGCCGCTGAGTATGTGCACACAAAATAAAACACAATGACAGAAAAATCATAACGAAGCTTTAAGGCTAAAATGTACATAACAAGCATCATTGAATTACCGACGCTTTTGACAGAATAGCCATTTAAGGAAATACGAGCTCAACTTTCATCTTTCCTGTTTAAAAAAAAAAAAAAAAAAAAAAAAAAAAAAAAGAAGTACTTAATATCTCTACAAGTGGCGCCCGAACTAAAAGGGTGGTGGATGATGACTCTTCACACCCAGGATTTGGTGATTAGGCCCCCTAGAAACACCAGTCGCCCTTTAAAGGGGGTAGTATGTAAGGTATTTCTCCCGCCTTCTTAGCGGGCCTTCGTTGTGTGGTGGTCTGCACGCTGGGCGCGTATTCCAGAGATGTGTGGTTCGATTCCCGGCGAAGGCGTTGCAAATTTTTCATCTGTCCTGCTCTTTAAATAAACCTAATGACTCTACAACTTGATAAACGATACCGATTAGCAAAATCGCTATAGCAAAACTGCCAATACAACCGCGCTGGGCAGAACGCACAAGCATTCATCAGGTGGAAGTGCTCTTAAAAACAACGACAAACTAGAGAAAACGACAGTAGCACCACTAGCGGTTAATGTTCACAACTTTTCAGTTCAGTTATCGCATGTTCCATAATAACGCCTAATTTGATTTATAAAGTCCTTTTGTGCTCTTTAGTTTTGCAACTGTTAATAGTAGACATATACTTCTTATTTCAAAACTGTTTTAAATGACGTAAATATTCATATTTTGGTACTTCTAAATCTTAAAAATCCATTTTCTAAAAATTACGAAATTAAAATTCTTATTCTCTCCCTGGTTAGTATAGGTTATGTTTATTAAAAATTCATACTTATTTAAAAAATGGAACATAGTAAGAAATTTTCATGAGAATATTAATAACGTAATTTTGAACTTTGAGACCTTATAAATTAGTCGTGTGAAAATTCCTTCGGTTTACCAAATGTAACAAAATTATAAATTAAAGGCATTAATAAATCACAAAAGAATGTAATTGAATGGTATTTGAGGGAGAGAAAAAAAATCAACCTCAACGTATTATAATTTATTCATCAACCGATCCCTAAGTGCAAATTTAAAATGACGAATTAAATCACGAATTTTGAAAATGACTTTAAAAGTCATTAATTTTGAAATTAAGTATCTCATCAGTTTTTGCCGTATGTTAGTTAAGCATTTTGTGTTTTATTTTTTATAATGAAACAGTTTCCTAAACATAAGTATGGGGACCTGGGGAGCGTATAAAAAGTTAGATTTTCTGATTTTTACAAAACTGATATATTTCTAATCTAAAAATGCCATAACGTTAATAACCGTACCGATTAAAATATTTGTGTAGTTGGAAGAACATATGACCAACAGTTGAGAAAAATAACAGCCCAATAAAGAATTTTGTGAACATGTATGTTGTGTATATCTACATAACGTACAGTACGCTTAGTGTAGCTAGAGTATGAGATTTTCTTCTGAATCGAACGTAATATTGTCTTCCTTGGTGTTTTTCTTGAATCTATCTGCAGCTGCTTTATTGTTTATAACATTAACTTTGAATCTCTAATTCGCAAACCATAAAGTATCATTGTGCTAGAAACAAATAATTTAGATCAAGAGACCATTCGGCTTTTTTCCAAACGATGAGACGCGTATTTCTGCCAAAAATATTATACGTATTTAAGCTCATGGCTATATATTTCGGTATTCTAATAATTTTGAGACTTTAACTACCTCTAAAACTTGTTTCTATTCTACAAGCTGACGAAAGGTTCTTCATCGAGTATCCGACGATATTGCAAAAGTCATTTGCACAATTAGTCTATGAATGCAGTGGCTCAACAGCAAGCTTCAACGCACTTATTTTTAATTTACCTTAGCTTGCTTCGTAATTCTGTTTCACAACCTTTTAGAGGGTACTTTTCCTTCGTTTTCCAGCTGTAAGTCTGCACTTTGGGTTTTTTTTTTTTTTTTTTTTTTTTTCCCTTTATTTTCTAGTTATAACAGCTTTGCCCTATAATTTTATCAATTCGGGGAAGTGCTTTTTATTAACATAAAACTAATATTTTCAATTCACTAGTCTTGTCTTTCAAAGATCGTGCACCGATATACACTTTTGTTTCAAACAAGACAAGCACAATAAATATATACACATATATGCAGAGAGAGAGAGAGAGCTCTTTCTAGAACATTCCCAAGGATTAATCTTCTCTGACTTAAATTTTAAAATTAATGGTAGTTTGAAGATTTTTCTGATGTGTAATCTCAGTTTTTTGCAGTAAAATTTGCGTAAGAATTTTTAAATTTCATAAAATGATAGCATGTAATTTATTTTTATGTACCGCTAAATAAATACTTTTAATTGTGAGGTTTATTTATCTATTTTTAACTAATAGTTCATCTTAAGTTTGACTACTTTCCTATTACTCTCTTTTCACCCATGCTTTTCATGCCAGAATGTAAATGAGATAGCGAACGCAAGCAAGCAAAGGTTTCGGACTAAGATTAAGCAAGAGTTTCGGAAGTTAGTTTTACAGCGTATCTGCCTATTCCAGGCCACGTTGTGGTGATTTTTAGCGGCGTTGAGTGTGTTTCTAGCCATTTAGCTTTGTCACGCCGTTTTACTACAAACCAGAGCCTTGTCTGCGCGTTAAATTTTTCTGTGAAGCGTTAGGCTTATCTACTATACCTTGAAGTTGTAATGTATCTGTGCTTGTGCTTGGCTTATGTAGGCCAGAAGTGCTTGGTTTATGTAAACCCAAGTTGGGCCATTTGTTAAGTTGTGTTCGAATAAAAGGGTCATATACACCCTTCTTCTGATCTCTGTTTTGTTTCACAAGGCTAGAAGATAATTCTTCAATAGTACTTTTTAAGTCTATAGTTTATGTTCCCAAAGAGATATAGACTTAACAAAGTTTAAACGTAATCACCAAAACTGTTCATTCCATTCTCGTTGCTTCCAATGTAGAAAGCCAAATTCGAAATTTTGCACACAGTCAAGCGTGTTTTCAATTTTTGAAATAGCCGAATTAAGTTTTCACAGCAGACTATTAATAAAAGCTTTCCAGATGGATAGCATCTTGACAATCGGAAATCTAAAAATCGGTCTAAAATCATTTTTGATCTTGAAAGTTTATGTTTGGCTACAGTTAAAATACATTATGGAACGAAAGACTTGCAACTTTTCTTAAGCATGTAGTTAGAACTCTATCTAATAAAAGTTTTAGGAAATCTATGCAACCAACTGAATTTATTTTAAACTTACTCATGATGAATAGTACCTGAAGAGAGTTTGTCAAAATGTTTAAACTTTGTTAAGATTCAAATCAAGATATTAAGATCAATTTCACTCAGGATGAATAATAGTACCTGAAGAGAGTTTGTCAAAAAATTTAAATTTTGTTAAGATTCAGATCAAGATATTAAGATCAGTTTCACTCATGATGAATAATAGTACTGAAGACAGTTTGTCAAAAAATTTAAACTTTGTTTAAGATTCAAATCAACAATACTTTAACTTAATTCATTATCTACCAAAAGTTCCAAATGTAAACAAACGACGACTTTGTTAGGCCTAGCGCCACTTAAACTTTTAAATTGTTGATAATTCTACAACTATTGCGTGCAAAATATCTAAAGGGATAAAATCCTTAACCGGAATTTAACAACATAATTCAACCTCTTTTAAAGCAAAAAATGCACAATATACCAACATATAAGAATAAAAGCACACAGCTCACCGAACCGGGAAAGAGTATGTGTAATATGTATGTTTGATGCGGCCAATTGCAACAAAAAGGGAGGTGCACAACTATATATTAGAGCTATCCCATACGCAAAATTTCTACGTTCTACTGTTAATCATTCTTGAGTTATGCGAGATACATACATGCGTACATACGTACGTACACACGTTACTAAAAAATCCCATTTGAATGCATTTGAAATCCATTTTACAATCCGTTTTAGATAATAGAGTCTTATTCTGACCTACACACAAAAAAAAAAAAATGTTTTTTCCATATGGATTCGGGTACGATCTACAAGGATATTTTCGTTTAAATGCGATAACCGACATTTTTTGCGATTACAATACTTCATTTTATTTCCTACAAGGAAGTAAAAACGTTAAATGAATTAATATAAAGCTTTTATGTTCCCGACAAAACTTCTCATACTACAAACCTTTGAATGTAAACAATAGGGAAAAAAAAAAAAAAAAAAAAAACGGGGAAAAAAACTGTATTAATCTGCATATACTTATAGTGTATAAGTATTTGAAATCGATAAAATCTCACCATGGCACGATCAGGATAAAATCCATAACCATCTACATTATCCAAATTTTCATTTTACAAACATAATATAATAATTATATTATTGCACTATAAATTTTAATGTAAACAATAGCAACTACAAAATAAACGCTTTGCATTGTGAAAATTACCTTGTTCAAAGCATCAGCACTGAATAGTATTATTTCAACTAAATAAAGCACATAATGTAAACAACAGTTTGTAACACAAATTATTCAAAACTTTCAATGAATTAACGAAAAAATTCGAAATTACCAATAAAGAAATATGCGCGCATCGCATGGGTGCGAAGCACTATTCGCAGGCAGAAATGTTACAGTTCTACGCTACCCTATATGGGAATTGCTTTAGGAAGCATTAAAACTCTATTGCTTTCTACTGGCTCAAAACAGTGTTGTTATCAAGATTCATAATTTAAGCAAACTATTTTCTATGCCTGACGCGGGAAAAACATTGAATAGTATTTTTCCCGGCGAATCGGATTGCGTCTTAGAGGATGAGGTTATACTCTTGGTTCATAAGATGCAGGCTGATTTTAGAGCTCGTTTTGGAGGGGAAAAAAAAAAAAAAAAGTTAGTTTTATGGGCCGGCAAATACGATATTTCCAAAGAAAAGTATGCCTGGAAACATTATTCAAAAGCTTAGTGGCGCCATCTGTGAAAGGCAGAGGAAGTGAAATTTAGAAAAGTTTTCAATTTCTTACGGTTTTCCTTCCTTAATCACCCCACGGGCTTACTAGAATCACTCCATTGGAAATAATTCATAGATTGTATATTTCAACTATTCATCCCGCAAACAGCTTTCGTTGTTCAGTAAAAATGCGAAATGCTTTGGTATAAGTTTGCCTTTCTTTTGTTAAGAGTATATTGCGAACACTTGTGGTATAAAATAATTAGTTGTACATTTGTCATTTACTTAAGATAAAAACGTATAGAAACTATATCATAGTGGCGTGGGAGGTAAACATAATTTTTGTTTATTGTAGAGCTGAATGTCAACTAAGCATTAGAAAGGCCTTGGTTAATAAAGAACCTTTAATTTCACATTTTATATTTAGGTTTATTTCATATATATCGTCAGAAATTAAATTTTTTTATTGTTGTTTTGCCCAAAGAGTAATTTAAACTCGTTTAATCCCTAAGAACGCATGATTATTTTTATTTTCAGTTCTCGTTTGTTTTGTCTGTTATTTATTCCCCTGAATTTAAAGATTTTCCTTACTTTTGTAGGGATTAATTGGGTAAATTTATTTTTTAACACAATGAAAGCCAATAGTTATAGAAAACGAAAAGCGGGATAACAGCCTTTAAATAAGCCAAGTGAAATCGAAAACGTAATGGCTCTCTTCCACTGTGTCATCAAAATCAAAAATAAACTTCGAAATACTCGTGTTATAAATTGAAAATGAAAATATGCAAAGCTTCATGTTCCATTTCTGTATTAACTTTCAAATACACAAATCTTTTTATTATCCAGTTATCCTTTTTATTATCCAGTTATCTCTCTAAGTTATATTTATGCTTTTATAGCACGTCTGGAAGAAAATAAAAGCAACCTTTAGAAGTTCTTCAATTATTCTCTGGAGAATGAAAATGTACTTTCTGCTGATGTCTAGTATTATTCAAATTAGTTTGAATTATTGCAGAAATAGTTGTTTAGACTTTATACCAACAGCGTACAGTTTAACTATAAATAAGCTTCACATTTTTTAATCTTGTTTCTTCAGTCAACCCGCCCATTTTTTTCAGATATTCATATCATTACATGCCAAATTCAAATCCTTTTCGCCTGATTATAATAGTTAGCTAAGTATTTATACAGTGAGTTCTAAACAATGTACTTGCAAAATCTGCAAACATTATTACGATTTTTTTGGTCAACTGATAATTTTATTCATTGCTTAAATTTGCGATCATTTACCAAAAGATCGGTTACAAAGATCGGCTGACTGTAAGTAAAAACTGCTGACTACAGAGAAATCTGCAGGTAAAATGTAAGGAAACATTAGGATGGAGAAAAGGCTAGAGAAATAATAAAATAATTGATGCTTAGTATTTTAATAAAATATAATAGCATGAATATTTTCTGATCGAGAATACTACAATTTAAATAAAAGTCTCCAAAAGATTAATATTGATATCTTCCTCCTTCTCACAAATAAATACATTTTAGTTGTAAAAGAAAACATTACTGCTTAAATCTTGTGTTTCCCACATACCTTCAGTGCTTTAGTTTTAAAATAAAAACATCATAACATCACATTTTTAAGAATAAATTGCCAAATTTTTAACGCATACGTAGACACAAAGAAAATAAACAGTTGTCTGAACTGATGCAATTATTCAGAGAGTTAAAGATTTTGTAAAATTCTCTGGAAACATTAAGGGAAATATGTATCAAGAATTAATTAAGAAATGTATCATTGACACTAATTTCCTCTCGGTTGGGAAAAGTTAATATTCGTCAATTTTCTCGTGGCTTTCTGTTCTTCAGAGTTGTATTTAAAAAAGCTGTCGTTTGCTCTGCCGTTTTTAATTTAAATGCCAACCAGTTTGTAGTAAAAATATTTGTAAAATATGTGATTCATAAGTATCAGAGTGGGAAAAAAAAAAAAAAAAAAAACAGCTAAACAGTGGTAGTTTCATTGGCTCGATTTTCGGCAAAAAATATTTTCGTGGTATTTTTCTAGTTGTTTAACTTAAATTTTAGTCCGTTTTTCTCTGAATTTAATTTCTCAGACTTCCATAGAAAGTCCTTCTGCCATAACCAATTAATCAACCAATCAGCATAAAAACATGAGACTTACTTTTAATTTCTGAGAGTGGGTTGCATTTTACATGTAGCATATTTCGGGAAAAGTCAAAATTCTTAGTTTTTAACTGTTGTAGGAATCTTTATAAGTATATAAAATCTTCTCATGCTTCGAAAATTTTACTCCTAGTTGCCGTAAACTGAAAAATATTAGAGCTTGCTTTGAAAGTGAATTAATAGAACTGCATTTAATTTGGTACTGCTAGGGCAAAATTTCCCACCATATTTGCAGGTCTTGTTTGCTTTTACTGACTTCGGTTTCCCCCCAAAAATATCTATAACTGTACGAGATTCAGGTTCTTTAAATTGTGAATAAAATTACAAAAATAATTGGTTCTTCTAGAATTTTTAAGTAAAAAATATTAATGTAGCTACGCTAAATAAGGACCAAATAGAAATATATCAGAAGAAGGTCAAATAAATTCAGTTTATACCACATTTATGCTATATTTTTTGATAAATTTTTCCTGATTTTTGTATTGTTTATTTTCTTTATATTTACTATTACAAAATATGAAAGGTGGTTCAAATAATATAAGAATGAGTTAAATACAAGAATGACCTACATATTCTTTGGAAAAATCATTTGTTGCTGCCTCGACCGTGATCTCAGTATTTTTTTTATAGTTACAGGAATAATTGAACTAATTAACTAAATTTTTTTTATTTATTTATTTTTGTTGTTGGTTCATTTTATTGATAATTAACTTGAAAGGGAAGAAAGATTTTCCTAAAATTATTTTTGTTAGAGATTAAAAAGCATTTAAAAAATCCTACTAAAATAATAACTCATCTTGCAGTGATTGATCTGTATCTAACTGTACTGAATTATGAATGTATTAATTTTATATTTCTGTTCTTGCACTTTGGAAGATTGAAATAAATATACTTCAATACAGTACTTCTCTCTACTTCGCTTACTTCAAAGCTTAGTGGCGCCATCTGTGAGAAGAAGTGGAAGTGAAATGCAGTTAATGATTTCATCTTTCGTACAGCTATCCTTCCCTTTAAGATGGTTCTTTGAATCACCTTGTAAGACCTATCTCTATTATTCCACATAAACTAAATTAGATCCTACAGTGCACCTGGCGAATTCTCGCACAAGCGTGAATAAATTACCAGCACAGAAGGGTGAAAAATAACCCTTTATTAATTCAAACTAACTTAACAGAAGTGCACGGACTTCGTGCGTTACAAAACACAGTCCACTTGCGGTGGGAACTAAAACGTAGAATATAATATAATAAACGTAGAATATAAACGTAGAATATAATATAAAGTCAAACCTGAAGTAAATAGTGCAAGAGCGCACTTAAGTTTACGCCTGGGAGGTGGACTCACAGAAGTCTAACCGGCGTGATACTAAATCTGATAAGGCCAAGAGGCTTACTAGCGTACCGCTAAATAACAACGAAACGTGCGCTTGGCTAGCGAAACACGCTCTGAATAAACTGAGATATTCACACGTTTAAATAGCACTTCACCTAACTTTAAATTTACATCCTGGCGAGAGAATGTGAGGGGAAGTTGCGAAATTTAGAATAAGAAATAAAATTTTAAATAAATTTGTTATGCAAAATAAGGAAAACCCTAGAACCTCATGGGAAATAATTTTATCAGACTATGCATATCAGCTATTGATTTAACAAGCAACTTTTACTATTTCAGTTCAGCTTCCGTTTCATAATTTATTGATTCAACAAGCAAATTTGTTGTTTCGGTGAAGTTGCGACTTCAATAAAAGGGAGAAATAAGTCTTTATATAAGTTTCTGCTGTTTTTACGTAAAGTATTGAGAAATATTGTAGTACAAAACAATAATTTGGGCATTTCTCATCTATGTAACATAAAAAGCTATAGAAACTACAGAGGCTGTTCACACCTTTTTAGACGATGTATATTGTATTCACAAAACTAAATTACATAAAATTCTTGTGTTTTAAATGTTCTATTTGACATCCCTTATTCTGAACTATCTTTCGACACCGCAATTTCCAGGATAATAATGCCTTTTGAAGTGGCAGAAGAGATATTCTACCACATTCCTCCCGAACAGCTTTCCAGAGTCTTGTTAGGGTTTGGGAACAACGTTTGGATAATGCAGTTTTTAAAAATCCGAAAGCACAAAAAATCCATAGGGTGACACACTCGGAGATTTAGTAGGGATATCATTGAAGGGTATGGCCTTGATACCAGTTTTTTGTTCCATTTCTTTTAGGAAATTTACAGTGGATTTTGATGTGTGACTGCTAGCTTTGTCCTGATGGAGTCTCACAGTGGTAAAGCGATGGTATTTCATTCAGAAAAATTGGAGATAAAATATGTTTCTGATAGTATTTGGAGTTAATCTTGACATTTTTTCCCACTCTCTTTATTTTTAACTTGCCATTATAAGAAAAACCAGCAACAATAATCAATCCCTTAGAAAAACTTTCTTTCGATTCTTTGAACCATGTACTTAAATTTTTTCCTCCCCTTTTATGATAATAAATGACTCTTTTTGTTACAATCATTTAAATACACCCATTCTTCATCTATTGTGACAATTGCTTTTCATTTTTCTTTGGATAAGTGTTTCTCATATAGAATTTTGCAGCGTATCCTGCGTTGAGCGATATGCTTTGGAAGAAGACGATGCACATTGCGTTTTTTCGCTTTCTTAAGATTTAAATCAACGTTTATCGTTTTGTTT